ATCTTTTGTAATTTTAAAAAAAAAAAAAAAAAAAAAAAAAGAAGAAGAAGCAAAACACCAGAGACTTTTGCTAGGCCAAGTATGGTTAAATATAAACAGTTAGCAGGCTGGTTAGCTCAGATGGTTAGAGCATGGTGCTGATAACACCAAGGTCCAGGGTTCGATCCCTATACCAGTAAGCTGCAAAAAAGAAAAAAAAAAAAATTCACCACACAAAAATGATAAGTTTTTGAGGTAATGCATATGTTAATTATCTTCATTTAGCCATTCCACAATGTATACATATTTCAAATTATCATGTCATATATCATAAATGTATACAACTTTTATTTCTCAATTCTTATTTCTCAAAAAAAGTCAAATGACTTAACACTACATTTATGAGGGTTGACTTAATAAAGCAAATCTCCTGGATCTTATATATTCAATGGCTATCATCAACTTTACCTGCATTTTTTGTTGTTTTTGGTTTTTTTGGCAGCTTGCCAGTATAGGGATCTGAACCCTTGACCTTGGTGTTACGTTATAATTGATTTTAAAGTTAGCTTTCAATACATGGCACTTCCTAGGACTTAGGCAATTTTGGTCATTTAGCTGTGTCAACCTGAATGCACCTGCTGGTTGCTTAACAGGTAAACAAAATGCCAAGTCCCAAACTTGCTGATTCCTTTTCCTGCCTCTTCTTCCTCTTCATACTCATAATATGCCCTTTAAGACCAGTCTCAAACCTATTTCCCCCAGGAGGCTTTCTGGCCTAATCCTCACACCCCACATTTACTTCTGCACCTTGCATAATCCATATAAAATTATCCTTCCGGTGGCTGAGGTGCTTCGTAATTAACTTCTTGTTTCTTGCATCTAACCCCAACAAAACAATAGGTTTGTTGTGAGAAGGACTAAGACTTCTTTTTGTACTCCCCAAGGCCTGGAACTAGGAGCTCAAAAAGTGCTTACCAAATGGAAAAACCAGAGTGTTATCATATAGGCCTTTTTCATAACTCCTCATCTTTTGTTTTCACATTTAGTATATTCGGAGACATGGTAAAGCAGTGAAAAACCAATAGTTTTTCATCAAGTTAACTACTTTTGAAATGTTCAGGAGAAAAAGCATTTAAATTCCAACTCTTTGCCTTTGAATGTCCCAGGAATTGGTTTTTAAAACAATCCTTAATATTAAAAATATTTTAGAAAACAGAAGTTGAAAAGACTCACAGTGTGTTAGCAGTCCAAATGATAACGACAAATTGATTTTAGTAGCAGAAATTGAAATACGACACCTTGAGCAGCATTTAAACCTGGATGTGCATAAACATCTATAGCGTAGTGTCTGAACAAAATCAACTTCAAGCTCATTTTTAAATATTCTATCTGAAAAAACCTTTACACAATGTAGTTAACATACATTTTCTTGAACTGAGCATATAAGGACAATTTATCATTTTCATATACAAATAAAAACACTTCATCTTTTACTACCAAGGTCTGAAGAAACCATACATCTAAAAAAGAGAATAAACACATGGTTTCTGCTTACCAAATAATTTGAGGTGTTAAGAGGTTGGATATATAATTCTAATGTGCTATTTCCATACAGCATGAAGTTCAAATCATAAACCTTTTCCCAACATTAAATTAAGCAAACCCGTTTGTTTTAGAGTATTTCTTTAAAAGGTGAACAACTATTCTTCATTTAGGCACAAGACAAGTCTTTTAGACTGGTTTAATTAGAAATCCTTTGTTTAGCAAATACAATTACTAAGGCTGGTAGTTACACTAGTAATCTAAAATTAAAACAAGCTATTTCCGGTTTCATTGAATAAATCATCACAAGTACGATTTGCATCCATAATAAAGGAGTCTAAGATGTAAAAATCAAGTACTCTTTTTCCAAGAAAATAATGTACACTTCTGAAACAATATATCTATAAAGAAGAAGATTAAATAACATACATTATCAACAAGAAAGAAGTAATAACACTGCTGCTATAAAAATGCAAACCAAAAGCCAATTCACACTAGAATCTTAAATAACCACATACTGGGGACACTGCAGTTTATTGATCTACAGTCAGATCTTTTGGCCAGGTGTCGAAGCAGAAATATAAAATAATGTTACTGCATTCTGCATTAGCACAAAGAATACCAAATTACTTCAAAAAGTCCTTTCTGACAAATAATATATCCCTTCCCTCCCCCTCCCACAAGGGACCTTTCCTAAGGGGGGGGGGGATCCGTGCCATAAATAAATAAATAAATAAATGCAAAACAGATACCTCCTGCCTCTTTGATGCTGCACAGCTTGACAAGCCGTTTGCATGAAAATAATTCCCTTCAACTCAGGAAACTCAAGGATCTCAAGGTAATCTTGAACAACTTTCCAATCTGGGATCACATAATGAGTCACATCACTAGACAGGAGTTTCCCATCTGAAACATAATTCAAAATGTAAGAGATCAGACGTTTTCAACCTGGTTTATAACTATTTCAATGTTACGGTGCCCCGGTGTGCAAAATAACTTCCAGTCTTAGCTCCACTGAGAAGTTTTTAAAAGACAAGACAAATCTACACGGGTAGAGACTCAAAGTTCAGTTAAATTCAGCACCTTCACTTTTTGGAAGCTGTGATAAATACAAGCTCAACGTGGTTTATGCTGTTGCCAGTGATGCAGGAGAGGAAGGCTATTTTAAAAACAAACATATTTTCAGCATAATCCGAATATTTCTGCGTTGTCATCACTGACATACACTCACATTAAAGTGGAGCACGCCAAAATATATGTTAACCTCTGTGTATGCCCAGCAATTGTAAGTCGGTTCTGTGTCAAGTTTCTGAACATACTCAGAAGTCTCCAAGGGCCAGAAAGATTGAATTGACTAGAAAAGATGCTCAGTGCAACGAATGGCCAGTGCTACGGTTTCCAGGCAGCTCGCGGCTGAGGGAGCTGGCCAGGCACGCTGTAACTGAAGTCTAACCAGAAGCTGAGGTTTCCAAACATTCGCTGAGAAGGACCCCCATGCTCATCTCCCACATGGGAAAACAAACAGTAACCTTCATCGTTAAATCCGCCACCCTTGCCACCCAGAAACGAAGTGGGGGAAGGTGTGGGGCACAGCAGTCCCAAATCCAACTTTCCCATGACCTTCCTCTACAATGAGGCCCCAAATAAGTCACAAATCCCACAGTGGCGAGGGCCGTACACCGGATGCACGTCGAGGCACCAGTGCGGGCAGGCCACGTTTGCTGTGGGCAAAGCCAGGCGCGCAGCAGCAGCTCCCCGGGCCGCCGGCAGCCTCTCACTAAAGGGTTCCAGCTCCGGACCTCCCCTCCTCACCGCCACGCGAGGCTGGGGACAGGAAGCGGCAGGCCCCTGCGCCCTCAGGCCGCCCTGAAAGCCCGATCACCGGGCCTCCGGGCCGTGGGGGCGCCTGTCACTCCCGCCCTTCCATTGGATCGGGCGGAGCAGGCGGGGAGTCCCGCGGGGG